TTGCTCAACTTTAAACCCTCCACAGTCATCACCGACGAGGCGACAATCTCGTGTGCTCACAATCTCTTTTCATGTCTCATCGGTCATATTGTACCCCTCCTAGCAAAGTTTTTAATTGGTTTTGTTCAGGGGCTATGGGAGAATGCATAGGGGACTGTTGGCATGGCAGATCCAGATTCTCTGGCAACATCAATGTAAATCACCTTCAACGAAGCCTCATACTGAGTTTCTAGTGTCTGTCTAGAGTTTTTTAAAGAAATCTATTGATTTTTCTCTTCGCTCGAAATATAAATCTTTGAGATCCATTTGATGAGTGTGACGTGTGACTCTTGCGATGGAGATTCAAAAACATTGAATTGAAAGAGAGGTCGCGAAGAAAATGTTTCCTCCCATGTCACTAGATATGTTTCATTTTGTGCTTAAGAAAACAAGAAAAACCAGTTTTCTGTTTTTAAAAGTGCATGCAACATGTTTATATAAGAAACAAAAATTTAGCAAACTTTTTTTTTTTTAATTTTGCTTGTGTGTTTCTATTTGTTTTATAATAAAGCAAAAAAAAAAAAACCTATACCAAACATACTCTTAAGTATGAGCACAACTGGCCCAGNCGTCTGATTATTTATCAAAAAAATGTGACAGGACGATTTGACCGGCTTCTTTTTGTGGGGCCACCAAGTCAAAAAGACCGTGAGGAGATATTCCGCATTCATTTGCAGAAAATGCCTTCTGCATTATGGAGCTGGCTCTTCTCACAGAAGGCTGTACTGGTGCTGATATATCCCTAAGCTGCCGTGGAGCAGCCATTGCAGCTATAGAGGTTTGTCATTTTTTTCTTGTGATTAGTTGNCCGTGTTTCCATGTTGTAAGGTTTGAATATAGTTATGTGCCTTAGGTCATCTATGTTTTTACTATCAACTATTTCGTGTGATTTGAAAATGCCGGAACCTAAAGAAGCATGCACAACCTAGTCGTCTATCTGAAAGTAATGGCTATCGAAGGAGTTTGATCGTATTCCATTTTTTTTGTATTTTGGCAGATTGGAGGAGCTCATGTGATACATAATTTCTATGAGCTATGCATTGTTTTTTTCCTGTTCATAGATGGATACCTTGTCCATCTATATTATTCTATGACGTATCTTTTTAGCATTTTTTAAATTAATAAGTTTTCTTGTTTCTCATAAAAATAAAAAGTAATGGCTATCAATTGGATGAACTCTGCCAAGTCTGAATTAGATGAATAAAGAAAAGAAAAAAAATGTTTTGGATGTTGTGCGCTAATTTTTAATTTTTATAAATATTTCTTAGGTGACTAGAGAATTTGTTGATGCAAAAGTGTCTATGGGGGATGTAAATTATTCAATATTGATAAAAAATTGTTGAACTATATCCGCTAGCACTGATGCTTCTTTCTTACAAGGAAATTTGGAGCACCATTGCCATCTTACTTTACTTTCATGCTCCTAAATATTTTATTTATTTTTTATATACTAGTGTACATGTGGTGGGTGAGGTATTCTAGTCTGCTCATAATGCTTACTTAGCCATAGGATTAGGGTATGGCAGCAATTTGACATCATGTGGTTTGTTTATTCATTAAGTTAGTTGAAACAAATTCAGTTGTAAAGCTTTTTCTTCTTCCTTTCTTCTTTTTTGGTGGGGTTGGGGGGTAGCTTATGGGTACAACAGCTCCTTGTTTTAGTACTATTTATCCAGCACAATATGATTGTGGTTCTAGAGCATGATAGTCTAGTTTGCGAATCCTTTCTCAGGTGTAACTCATAATTCATTTCATTGCCTAACAAAATAAAATTGGATGCACCCGGTGAAAGTCCAAGTTTTCCAAATAAAATTTAGAACTGTTTGGTATTTGTTTACTTCTTGTTGTTAGTGTCATGCTATATTAATTGAATATACTCTTTTTAGATTTCCTTATGCACTTCTATAAAATATTTATTGAAGTTGGATGAACCTAGCCAACTCTGAATTAGATGAAGTCTAATCAGCACCCAAAATAAAAGAATAAAAAAATGGTTTGGATGCTGTTCTTTAAATTGTTCATTATTTGTGAAACTCAATCAAGTGAATTGAGAATTTGTTGATTCAAAATTGTCTATAGGGATGGAAAAGAAATAATCTTGATGAAAAATTAGTGAACTATATAACCTCTACAACTGATGCTCCTTATAATAAAATCATGAACACCAATTCTATCTTACTTTACTTTCGTGGTCTTCTTTCTTTTTGTTTCTACTAATGCGCGTGGGGGGAGTTTGTTTCTACTATTGCGCGTCATCTCGTAATGCTTACAGAGTCATAGGATTAGGAAATGGGAGCAATTTGACATCATGTGATTTGTTCATTCTTTCCTAGAGTTTTTCAAGAATGAAATAGTGAACTAATGCACAAATACTACTTTTTGTCTCTTTCTTAAGAAAGAGAAATCATCTTGGGATAAAGTCTTTGCAAGATTTGGGGCAAAAGTCCTTTCGAGAAGGCATCAAGATGTATTTTATTGTACTATTTCTATGTCTCAAGGTGCCTTTGTTAGGGGTACCAAATTTTGGATGTTGTGCTTGTTGCTAATGAGATTATAGAGGAGTATAAGGAAAAAAGAGGTCTTGTTTTCAAAGTGGATTTTGAAAAAGCATATGATACGGCTTGAGATTTTAATGGAATGTAAAGGCTTTGGTTTAAGATGGAGGAAGTGGATTATGAGTTGTTTAAATTCGGTGATTTTTTCTGTGATTGTTAATGGGGCTTCAAAAGGCTGTTTTAAGGCATCTAGAGGTCTTAGGCAAGGAGATCATCTCTCTCATTTCCTTTATACTTTGGTGGTGAATGTTTTGAGTAAAATGCCGGATAGGGCGAATAATAGAGAGGTCATTGAGGGTTTTAAAATCGGAAGAGAAAGTGTGGAAGTGACTCATTTACAATTTGCGGATGACACCATTTACTTTTGTGAAGGGAATAAAAAGAATATTCATTCAATTGCTTTAATCTTGCAATGTATTGAACTGGAGTCAGCCTCAAACTAAACTTATCCAAGAGTGCAATTACATGAATTCATGTACAACAAGAAGATTGGCTGAAGTGTTCGGGTGTTCTATCTTAGAGTGGCCTTTGAAATATTTAGGGTTGCCTTTAAAGCGTAATCTGAAGTCCTTAGTTTTTAGGGAAGCTGTGGTTTTAAAGGTTGAGAAAAACTTGATGGGTGGAAGAAAGCTTTTTTGACAAGGGGAGTAGGTTCACTCTTGTCGATTCAGTGCTTGTGAGTGTTCCTATTTTTTATATATGTTGCTTTTTATAATGCCTCAGTAAGTTGTGAAAAAAGTAGCAAAAAATGGTGATGAATTTTCTATGGAAAGGTAGTGGAGAAGGAAATACAGACTATTGGGTTTGGAGGAATTTAGTGTCTTGATCCAAAATTAAGGTGGGTCGCTAGAAAAGTTTTCCTACTTGCTTTTCACATTAAGGTCAGTAGTTTATGGCATTCTGTGATTGGAAGTAAATAATTAAGTTAATGGGTGGGACTCGAAGGTGAGTGAGCGAGGGTGCTCTCGTTGTCCTTGGAAATTCATTTAACAAAGTTTGTCTTATTTTTCCAAATCTGTAAAGTATGTTGTGGGTGATGGGGGGAGGATTCGTTTTTGGGAGGATTTTTGCGGGTTTCATTTACCTTTTGCAGGCTTGTTTCCTCGTTTATATCATTTGTCTAGGAATCTTAAATCAACAATTGCTTGTATGTTCTCATCATCTTTATCCCCAATTGGTTGGAACTTTGATTTCTAAAGAAAATTAAATGATAGAGAAGTTGTTGACATGTCATCTCTTTTGGGTATTCTTGATAATTCTGTTGAGGATCGAAGAATTTGGACCCTTTCTTCATCGGTGGATTTCCTTGTATGTCTTTTATCGAATCCCTTGTTGATAAACCTAACTTCCCAATTTTTCAACCTTCAAATATGATATCGAAGTCTAAGGTCCCTTTGAAGTTTGAGTATTTGCATGGTTACTTGCACATAAGAACCTCAATACCAATGATGTGCTCCAAAAATGAATACCAGATTGTCTTTACCTGCGATGGTGTATTCTTTGTAAGAGCTGGGAGGAATCTATGGACCATCTATTCTTGCATTGCTGTTTGATACTAAATTATGGAACATGCTTTTGGCCACAATTGGTTTCTTTTGGGTGACTGCTAGAAATTGTGAGTTGATCTTTGTTATTGAATTTGAGGGATTTGGAATAAGCAACAAAACTAAGATTTTATGGAGATGTGTGGCTCTGGCATTGGTTTGGACAGTGTGGTTGGAAAGACATGGGAGGGTTTTTGATGATAAGGTGAATCCTTGGGAGGATTTATGAGATAAAATTTCCTTCATGGCATCTCTTTGGGCTTCCACCACAAAAGAGTTTGAAGGAATTCCACTTTTCTTGATTTGAGGATCATTGGGCTCAAGTGTGTGAAGAACGTTGATACTTGGAATTCTTCTTTTTACCTTTCTAATGCTTTTTGTTTTTCAGTTGTATTTTATATATTTTTTTACGTTTTTTCTTAGACGACTCCTTGCCCTCTCATTTACTTTTATATCATTATTAATATTTTGGTAGTTTCCTATCCATAAAAAATATTGTAATGTAATTTATTCTGGGAAGATGTCAACTTCATTCTCTACGATTCTATTTTAGTCTTCGACATGAACAAATACTTTGTGATTTAGGTTTGCATCAAAGAGTTAGTGTTACTGTCATTGCTGCTACAAATCGGCCGTATAAGATTGACCCAGCCTTTTTAAGACCAGGTGCTAGAACTTTCTCTCAAATCTGAGTTAGCCACTATCCATTTATTTCTCTTTCCAGTAATTTGACAAGCCTTCTGATTATTTATCAAAAAAATGTGACAGGACGATTTGACCGGCTTCTTTTTGTGGGGCCACCAAGTCAAAAAGACCGTGAGGAGATATTCCGCATTCATTTGCAGAAAATGCCTTCTGCATTATGGAGCTGGCTCTTCTCACAGAAGGCTGTACTGGTGCTGATATATCCCTAAGCTGCCGTGGAGCAGCCATTGCAGCTATAGAGGTTTGTCATTTTTTTCTTGTGATTAGTTGGATTTCTCTATCTTCAAAGTAACTGGATTCATTTTTTCAAACTTTATTTTAGAAATTGATATTTTTTCCATGTATATATTTTATGATCTCAGGAGAGCCTTGATGCCGCAGAAATAACAATGGAGCATCTAAAAACTGCAATTAAACAAGCGAAGCCATCTGAAATTCAGGCTTATCAAGAGTTGTCATCAAGGTTTCAGAGACTTGTCCACTCAACTGCTGCAAGAGATGATTTGAGCAATAAACCATGTCAAAGCAGATCAAATTTGATTCCTTTATGGTAACCATATTCTATCCTGACCAATGTTTCTTTGCCGGATTATATCACTTTTGTTGTGACCCATGAACAGGGATAGACACACACACGCGCAAGAGCCTTATCATGGTAGGGTGATTAGGCCACGTGTTAGTGCATATTTCAGCCCTGGGACAAAATTAAAACATTTTGAAAGATGTCAAAATAGTTGCTTGTAAGTGGACGCAGATATCGATCATTGTATCACATTGTTTTAAACCCAAATAGTTGTTTAAAATGTCCACTTGCAATGTTTGATTGGCTTTAATTTCTATGGAGTTATTGCTGTTAGTAAGAAAATATAGTTCTTTGCAGAACTGAAGGCACTTGACATGTAACTAGAGTTTGAAAATAATTAGTGCTAGTATATTGTATAAGTTTATGTCACGCCCCAAATTTCACAAAAAGACATGATTTAATTAGAAAATGATTTTGTCCGAAACTCCCCAGGTTATGGCAAATTTGTGTATAGGTAGTTATTTGATTGAATAAAATTTGTTATTTGAAAATCCGGTGGAGTTTTATCTTAAAATCTTGCATACAACTCGATGGTGAGAGCAACCCTGTGAAAGCATTGTATAAACATAACTAAACTAAATTTCCACATCATCCATTCATCACAACATATATCCTAAAACTAGGGAGGCAAATGGTTGACCACCGAGGTTGGTGGGCCTCCATTCAACCTACTTTCACAAGAAGTACCACGAAACATAATCTTTTCCACAAAAGTTAATCATCAACAATGTATCAAGCTACACCAAACGCAGATTCATGTAACATTGATCCCCTTACAAGTTTCTAATGTATAACCGAAAGATGTTCCTTCTAGCCAAAGACTGCCATGTAGCAATCCACCCGCATATGCCTCGTGATTCATGCCTAAATATGTTAATAAGGTTTTGCATTTTATTTTTAGTTTTTGATTTGTTTTGTTTTTAGTTTGTTTTCAATTTTTTTGAAACGAAAAAATGATTGGTTATGTTTTTAATAAAACAAAAAACAGAAAAAGAAAAGGAGATACAAAATCATTCCACTGCCTGCTCAAAATTCTTTCTTCTCCTTCCATGCCATCACCATTACTCCCCTCACCTCCATTGGTACCCATAGTCAGCATTCTTTCATCAATTCCATTCCAAATGCCCACTTGCTCAACTTTAAACCCTCCACAGTCATCACCGACGAGGCGACAATCTCGTGTGCTCACAATCTCTTTTCATGTCTCATCGGTCATATTGTACCCCTCCTAGCAAAGTTTTTAATTGGTTTTGTTCAGGGGCTATGGGAGAATGCATAGGGGACTGTTGGCATGGCAGATCCAGATTCTCTGGCAACATCAATGTAAATCACCTTCAACGAAGCCTCATACTGAGTTTCTAGTGTCTGTCTAGAGTTTTTTAAAGAAATCTATTGATTTTTCTCTTCGCTCGAAATATAAATCTTTGAGATCCATTTGATGAGTGTGACGTGTGACTCTTGCGATGGAGATTCAAAAACATTGAATTGAAAGAGAGGTCGCGAAGAAAATGTTTCCTCCCATGTCACTAGATATGTTTCATTTTGTGCTTAAGAAAACAAGAAAAACCAGTTTTCTGTTTTTAAAAGTGCATGCAACATGTTTATATAAGAAACAAAAATTTAGCAAACTTTTTTTTTTTTAATTTTGCTTGTGTGTTTCTATTTGTTTTATAATAAAGCAAAAAAAAAAAAACCTATACCAAACATACTCTTAAGTATGAGCACAACTGGCCCAGTAGGATATTCCTTTCTCAAACATATACAAGTTTTCAAATGCCAATAATTTCTCAATTAGTATGAACATTTAGTATAAAGTTTCAAATAAAAAACATAACCACCAGATATAGTGTAAACCAAAAATGAGTACACCTACCCGGTAAAGCATCATTTGAAATCATAAGCATAATACCATAAAGTTTATGCTTTGGATCCAGAGCAAGGGTATCAAATGCCATGAATGCCTTACATACAACAAATAATGCAACTTATAGCTGGTTTCACACATCAATCATCGTTGTGGTGTTTTATGGTCTTTTACCCTAGGAAACACAAAGCGTTTCTTGTTTTTAAGGGGGACGAGTATGGTATAATTTGTAATGCAGCACAGGCCATCACTCAAAGCCACTATCCATTCACCAATCCCCCCAAGGACTAGTAGCCATCTACTACTCCTTTGCCTGTCTGTATTAAGCACACCAAGTTTCCAAAGGCCACCATTTTGGTGATCACATAATCTCTTTCCAAACCAAGCCGCAATTTCGGCATTTTCAAAAACTTGATAGAAATTTCATAATCTCAATATTTTCATTCTATGAAACAACTCTCAAATATCCAAAACCATTTGTATATAACTCCATAAAATCCCCCAAAGTAAAATGGCAAGGAAGGTACCCATACTTAAAATTGAATGCATGAGGTTTTACAATTCAAGGTATATTTAACATTTAATCAAGATTTGTAGCAAGGAAATCATAGATCCAACATGTATCATGCAAATGGACTTGATTTCAACATGGAATGCATTAACGTACATAAAGGGAAAAGAACCCTACTTAGAACTCTAGATTTTCAAGTTAGATCTCTAGATCTTCAAGGAAAACCCAAGATCCCAAGTTTTCTTGACCTTCTTTTCTCTTCCTCTCTGGGTAAATAGATATTGTATTGATGTACTACGAAAAATTACAAGGCCAAAGCCTTATACAAACAAAAGCCATCTGCACCAAAACATGGTGCCAAAGACCAAAGAAAAGCCCCAAAAGAGACAATCTAACAGGATTACTGGCTATTTGGCCAGTGCTCCTACAGATTGATCTCATATAGTGTAACAAAATACAGCAACTTTAGCATTAGCTAATCAAGCTAGCAGGAGATAAATGCCACGCCTGGAGTATGGCAAAACTGTGGGCAGAACTAAGAACTTTCAAAGTAATCAATCTGCTTCTAACAATATCTATGGTTCCTCTCAAGATAGATGCAGCATCCTTGGGAGAACTTCTGGAAATCCTTGCAATTCTCTCCCTCCATAAGACAAACAGTAGCAGCCAGGCTTAATTTCAGAATTTTTACTTTTAGAGACCTACCCTTCCGATCCCTTGATGAATCTGAAATGAAGGATTGCCAAGGAGTAGAGTACCAGGGTTTCCCACTTCTCTGTAGCACTGCACTCCATATCCCAGCTGTAAAGTGGCAATCAAAAAAGAGATGCGTGTGGCTCTCTTCATTCCTGCAAAAAACACAAGGAGTGTCCAAGTGCTGCATATAAATCTTCATACGGTCCTTAGTGTTTTGTCTATCCTGGATTGCCAACCACAAGATAAAACTCATTCTAGGTATTGCTTGTCTGTACGAGACTAACCTGTACCAGTGCACCCTTTGATATTTAGGAGCAATACATTTCCAAGGTGATTGTGCATAGTATATACCATTAGCATTAGGCAGCCACTTAACCTGATCAGCTTGGAAGGCAGTGAATCTCTCATCTCCAATAATATGCTTAAACAATGGCCTAGCAAGGCTTCTTAGTTTTAGGATTTTCTTCCAATTCCAAGAAGCAACCTGTGGTGTTTTGAACTCCCAAAAACTTTTCCTTTTAATAAATACACTGTTCACACTGAATTAGTCCATATGTTGGAACTATCAGAGAGGAGATACCAGATATATCTAAGCATAAGAGCTTTATTCCAAGAATGCAGCCCCTTAAGTCCCAGGCCACCCACTGCTTTAGTCGTCATGATAGTCGACCAAGCAATTTTACAACCCCTTCCACTGCTATCAACCCAGTGCATAGAAATGACCTTATCAAGTGGCATAGCCAGTAGCTTTGTATGTTGTAAAGGATTGCTTGAATTTTGTTTTGACTGTGTGAATGTTTGAAGTTGTGTTTTGTGATTTTTAATGGATCCAGATACATGAAGAGAGAGAGAGAGAGAGAGAGAGAGAGAGAGAAAATATTGCAGCTTCTTATTGTCTGGAGAAAACAGTAATGGTGAATCAATATAGGATAGAGAGAGAAGAAAAGAGGGAGATTATAGCGGTAGACTAAATCTCATTTGGAGTGATAGTTTGGTCTTTAAAAAAGCCTATTACAATGAATTTGGATGTAAAGACAGCATTTTTTAAGCAGCTATTTTTAATCATTTAAAAAGGCAGNTGTCTGGAGAAAACAGTAATGGTGAATCAAGATAGGCTAGAGAGATAAGAAAAGAGGGAGATTATAGCGGTAGACTAAATCTCATTTGGAGTGATAGTTTGGTCATTAAAAAAGCCTATTACAATGAAGTTGGATGTAAAGACAGCATTTTTTAAGCAGCTATTTTTAATCATTTAAAAAGGCAGTTTTTTGACCTAAAAACAAAAAAGTGCGAGAGTATATTTTTGGACAATTTTTCCTATCCAAATCCAACTTGAGCCAAAGTGTTGTGAATCCATCTTCGAGGAAAAGCATACACCTTCAAGGTCATTCAAGAGTTCCTTCAAAATCTTCAAACAAGTCGTCACATAGAATGGTGCCAGGATACACCAACCCCATAATTAAATTGAAGATAGAGACACATCCCAATCCAGCCATCGTCTTCACCAAANAGGTCATTCAAGAGTTCCTTCAAAATCTTCAAACAAGTCGTCACATAGAATGGTGCCAGGATACACCAACGCCATAATTAAATTGAAGATAGAGACACATCCCAATCCAGCCATCGTCTTCACCAAATTAAATTAAATAATTGTGCACGTGGAAACATGTCAAAAAGAGTCAACATTACATCTTATAACCACAAGTCAAAGAATCTACGATTATAATTTGACCATTTTTTGTGTAGTTCGACACGCATTTTGCCTTCGAAAAAATATTGTGAAAATAAAATCTTTTGGATAATAAGATAGGTTTTAGATCAATGTTTTTTAATTGATTTTTGGATCAAACAAAATGCAATTCACATATGACCCGTTGGCCCTAAGAAAAATGGTTACTTGTCGGTTAATCTGGTCGTTTAAGGTCTTGAAAAAAACTGCTCAAAGATACCTGAAGTTGGGATGGATGATTAGAAAGGAAACTAGGAAACCTATTAACTACCGTCTTGAATTCCATCACTGCTGTTCACCAAATATACCACACTACCTTTTATTTTGACACAAACTCACAGTATTTAAACTCCGCCCACAGAGCAGAGCTTAGTCTTATTACANTACACCAAATATACCACAATACCTTTTATTTTTACACAAACTCACAGTATTTAAACTCCGCCCACAGAGCAGAGCTTAGTCTTATTACAAGATATAATAATGCATTGTCAATATGAGTTATTTGAAATAGAACATAAACAAAGAGTATGAAAGGGAGACTTGAGGCTTCAAGCTTCAGACCAATCTCCAGAATGCTGACTCCCACGGACTTGGCTGATAGCAACAAAGAGATTTGAACAAATTACTGCGGTAGTTGTAAAAAAGAAACACAGACATAGTGGAAGCAACTATCTTTGGCTTCATCGAATCTAGATGCTCTCTATTATTTTTTTTCACATAATTTCATTCAACGGTAGATCATCCGCCATGTATTCATGTCGGACCTATTATTTATATGTGGACCTATTTTTTATAAGGGTGAAGAGTCTAAATATAAATAATAGGTCTCGCGTGAATACATAATGAGTGATTTACCATTGAGTTAAATTGTGCAAAAAAGTAAAAGAGAAGATCTCAATCCGCCCTGCATCATAGATACCACTCATATAAGTACGTCATGGATTGATTATCAAAAAGCACGCACTAGGAATTCTATCAACATGGCATCAACTCTATCACTGCTTCACAAAATATACTCACTGCAGCACCTTTGGATTTGATACAAACTCAGGGCATTTATACTCCGCCCCTAAAGCAGAGCTAAATGTGATCGGTAGCTTCAGCCTCCTTACTTGTGCTCTCCAATTGTGCTCTCCACCTCGGCCCCTAAAGCAGAGCTTAATGTCAATCGGTAGCACAAGACTATTGAATGATACATGACTAATGGACAATAAGATAGATTTACAGATGGGGAAAGGAATCTTCACACCTAGAATTAACCTTATAATTGAAAATCACAGTACAAAACAAGATTGGGTAGCTGTCTGCACTGCATTGAGCCTAGTTTGTAGATTTGCACACATTATTAGAAATTTTTTCAGAAAAAGAAAAAAAAAAATTTAAGTGTTTTTCACATCAACGAGAAAGGTGTGTTTCGATAATGATTTAATTCGAAATTCTTAACTTAGTAGGTATTAAAATTACTTTGCAGTGAAAAGCAAATATAAGAATTTTAACTTCTGATGAGGATTTTAACTTCAAGTAGGTACATCCTACTTGCCTATCCGAGCATCAACGTGACGATGTAAATTTGAAGAAATAATGGCCAAATTCAAGGATATACCAAAAAATAACAATTATTTGTCAAATACATTTGCTTACATATATCATCAATTCAACTTAGTTGGGCATTTTTACTTCGTCATGCTTCCTTTACTAAACATTTTCTAAAGGCCCACTGCTAAGTGCAAAATCTAAACAATAATACCACTGACAAAATTTATCGATTCAGTTCACTGCTATTGTTAATCCAAGTAGCATTACGAAACCAAAATCTGCAATAATTTGAAGCTATAGAATTTCATTACCACTCTATTATTCTGTCAAGTTATGGAAGAGCATGTGATACATTCAGCGGGGGAGGATTAAAATTGCATAGATTCCACTAACTAGAATGTCCAAGATAATTAGTTGCTAGTGTAGAAAATAGAAAATACAAAGGAATTAAGAAGCAGATGTCATCATGTGTCAGGAGTATTTTTGGAAAGATTAACAAGATATAGTGGCATACCTCTGTTTCGTGTAGGTGCCTTATTGTGTTATTAAGGTCGTCCTTGCACACAGCTGGATTGTCTAGTGGATATACATTCTCCAGCTTCGGCGTGCTTAGGGGTCCTAGAGAGAAGTTCTTCATTTCAGGGCAAATATACAGTGTGACTTCATGCAATGATGGCAATTCCAAAGCATGTTTCACAGGAAAAAAACTTCTTAGTTTGAGTAGTGCGCCAAGTATCAAAGTTTTCAATTGAGGGAACATAATTTCATTCATCCTGCTCCCTCCTTCTGCTTCTTCTTCCTTCACAACAACTTCTTCCAACATTGGGCAGTCTGCTATTATCAATTTTCGGAGGTGCACCAGACCCCTAGCCATGGACGGAGAGAATAAGTTTCTCAATTTGCCGCAATTATTAATTATCAATTCTTCCAATTGAGGGAACATAATTTCATTCATCCTGCTCCCTTCTTCTGCTTCTTCTTCCTTTACAACAACTTCTTCCAACATTGGGCATTTTGATATTCTCAATTTTCGGAGGTGCACCAGACCCCTAGCCATGGACGGAGAGAATAAGTTTCTCAATTTGCCGCAATTATCAATTATCAATTCTTCCAATTGAGGGAACATAATTTCATTCATCCTGCTCCCTTCTTCTGCTTCTTCTTCCTTTACAACAATTTCTTCCAACATTGGGCATTTTGATATTCTCAATTCTCGGAGGTGCACCAGACCCCTAGCCATGGACGGAGAGAATAAGTTTCTCAATTTGCCGCAATTATCAATTATCAATTCTTCCAATTGAGGGAACATAATTTCATTCATCCTGCTCCCTTCTTCTGCTTCTTCTTCCTTTACAACAATTTCTTCCAACATTGGGCATTTTGATATTCTCAATTCTCGGAGGTGCACCAGACCCCTAGCCATGGACGGAGAGAATAAGTTTCTCAATTTGCCGCAATTATCAATTATCAATTCTTCCAATTGAGGGAACATAATTTCATTCATCCTGCTCCCTTCTTCTGCTTCTTCTTCCTTTACAACAATTTCTTCCAACATTGGGCATTATCTTATTGTCAATTTTCGGAGGTGCACCAGACGCCTAGCCATGGACGGAGAGAATAATTTTCTCAATTTGCCGCAATGTGCAATTATCAATTCTTCAAGTTTACTGAATGAACCAGTGGGGACTTGGCTACACCATATCTCACTCACATTACTCATTCCACTGATTTCCAATTTCTTTAAGCTAGCAGACACAAACTGGAAAATTCGTAATATCACGTTAACGTCGGGCCCACATCAAAAATAGAAGAAATAAGAGTAAATGATATAAATGTCTCTTAAATTATGACTCTTATGTCAATTAAGTCATTAAACTAATTTAAATGTCAATTGAATCCCTAAACTCTAAAATTTTAGCAGCCCTTATGTGAATAGCCGTTAGGTTTTTGGACGGAATGTCTCATGTGCCCACCATATAGATAAAAATTAAGGATATTTTAGACTATTCGTTTGAAATCTATTAGACAAAGAACCTCATTCTTTATACTCATCAATTGAAACCATAAACCTAAACCTCTTTCATACCCATCAAAAGAAGTTAGATCAGCAAAATTATATTTTGTCCATAATTAAACATTAGCGAAATTGGAGAGTTTATGCAATGGACTTAAATGTATGATCAGTGCCTAGTAAGTAAAATTAGGAAGTCAGGTCCAGATTAAGACTCTGTCTCTCCCTTTGTCAAATGGGAGTTCTCTGGTTGTTTTACGTTAGAATCAATACAGACCCACCACCCCATAACCAAAAAAAGAAGAAGACAAAAAAAGAAAGAAACAAAATGACTGATATGTTGAGAGTATATAAGCATGTATGCACCTTTTGGTGGAAAAAAGGTTGCAACCTTGTAGCAACGTGGTTGCTTTTGGGGCAGAATTCCTTGATCATTGGCAGATTCAAAAGTCCTAGTTCAGTCAGAAGAGGGAACTCAATGCCATCAATGTTTTCACAGAAACAAATGAGGCTTGGTAGATCTTCTAGATCTAAACTCTCTAGTTTGGGAAATATGATCTTATCAGTTACATTTTCATCTCGTCTTTTATTTGAAAAAAATTCTTGAATATGTATACAAAACTACATGGGAATAACGAAACCGCATCAGAATTCTAATATTGTTCTAATCCCTTTATCATTTTTTATAAATTCAGATAAAGAAAAAAAAAATATAACTATTTTGACATGGGCCTGGTCTGAAGAACACAAAAACATACATTTTTAACAAAAATGGAAGATTGAAGAAATAAAATGACTAATTTTCTAAATTTGTGGGTATTGAAGGCTTAAAATTCAAGAAGAATCAGTGACATGAAATTGTAGTACCGATAGTGTTTAACTTGAAAAAATAAAAAAAAAATTTGTTGTGTAAGCTTCGGGTTTATATAGGACAAAAGATGGGTGAAATTAAGGTTTTGAAAAATACAAAAAATTAAGAAGATGGAAGATGAAAAGGAAAAAAATTTACCCATAGGCATTTAAATAATTTGTGAAAGTTTATGTAGTGGTCAGTGATGGAAGTAACGTAGTTTAGAGAGGCAAAGAACAAATCATGGAAGATATCTTTTAGCTTTGGATATATTAAAAGGTTAAAATTAGAAATTTGGAATAGAATTTGAGTCTGCTTCAATTTGAGCCCATAATAAGTTTTGTCTTGATTTGATATAAGTTTGAGTCCAAGGTGGGAGAAGTTTTTTGTATTATTTTGACTCAAATTTAAATTTAAGTCTATATTTGAGTCAATGTTGGAGATGCTCTAACTAGAATGTCCAAGATAATTATTTGCTAGTGTAGAAAATAGAAAATACAAAGGAATTAAGAAGCAGATGTCATCATGTGTCAGGAGTATTTTTGGAAAGATTAACAAGATATAGTGGCATACCTCTGTTTCGCATATGTGCTTTATTGTGGTATTAAGGTCGTCCTTCCACACACCTGGAATGAATCGTATAGATACATTCTCCAGCTTTGGCGTGCTTAGGGGTCCCAGAGAGAAGGTCTTCATTTCAGGGCAATCATAGAGTTTGACTTCATGCAATGATGGCAATTCCAAAGCATGTTTCACTGGGAAAAAACTTCTTAGTTTGAGTAGTTCGCTAAGTTCCAAAGTTTCCAATTGAGGGAACATAATTTCATTCATCCTGCTCCCTTCTTCTGCTTCTTCTTCCTTTACAACAACTTCTTCCAACATTGGGCAGTCTTCTATTATCAATTCTCGGAGGTCCACCAGACCCCTAGCCATGGACGGAGAGAATAAGTTTCTCAATTTGCCGCAAGCTGCAATTATCAATTGTTNGTGTAGGTGCCTTATTGTGTTATTAAGGTCGTCCTTGCACACAGCTGGATTGTCTAGTGGATATACATTCTCCAGCTTCGGCGTGCTTAGGGGTCCTAGAGAGAAGTTCTTCATTTCAGGGCAAATATACAGTGTGACTTCATGCAATGATGGCAATTCCAAAGCATGTTTCACAGGAAAAAAACTTCTTAGTTTGAGTAGTGCGCCAAGTATCAAAGTTTTCAATTGAGGGAACATAATTTCATTCATCCTGCTCCCTCCTTCTGCTTCTTCTTCCTTCACAACAACTTCTTCCAACATTGGGCAGTCTGCTATTATCAATTTTCGGAGGTGCACCAGACCCCTAGCCATGGACGGAGAGAATAAGTTTCTCNAGTAGGATATTCCTTTCTCAAACATATACAAGTTTTCAAATGCCAATAATTTCTCAATTAGTATGAACATTTAGTATAAAGTTTCAAATAAAAAACATAACCACCAGATATAGTGTAAACCAAAAATGAGTACACCTACCCGGTAAAGCATCATTTGAAATCATAAGCATAATACCATAAAGTTTATGCTTTGGATCCAGAGCAAGGGTATCAAATGCCATGAATGCCTTACATACAACAAATAATGCAACTTATAGCTGGTTTCACACATCAATCATCGTTGTGGTGTTTTATGGTCTTTTACCCTAGGAAACACAAAGCGTTTCTTGTTTTTAAGGGGGACGAGTATGGTATAATTTGTAATGCAGCACAGGCCATCACTCAAAGCCACTATCCATTCACCAATCCCCCCAAGGACTAGTAGCCATCTACTACTCCTTTTCCTGTCTGTATTAAGCACACCAAGTTTCCAAAGGCCACCATTTTGGTGATCACATAATCTCTTTCCAAACCAAGCCGCAATTTCGGCATTTTCAAAAACTTGATAGAAATTTCATAATCTCAATATTTTCATTCTATGAAACAACTCTCAAATATCCAAAACCATTTGTATATAACTCCATAAAATCCCCCAAAGTAAAATGGCAAGGAAGGTACCCATACTTAAAATTGAATGCATGAGGTTTTACAATTCAAGGTATATTTAACATTTAATCAAGATTTGTAGCAAGGAAATCATAGATCCAACATGTATCATGCAAATGGACTTGATTTCAACATGGAATGTATTAATGTACATAAAGGGAAAAGAACCCTACTTAGAACTCTAGATTTTCAAGTTAGATCTCTAGATCTTCAAGGAAAACCCAAGATCCCAAGTTTTCTTGACCTTCTTTTCTCTTCCTCTCTGGGTAAATAGATATTGTATTGATGTACTACGAAAAATTACAAGGCCAAAGCCTTATACAAACAAAAGCCATCTGCACCAAAACATGGTGCCAAAGACCAAAGAAAAGCCCCAAAAGAGACAATCTAACAGGATTACTGGCTATTTGGCCAGTGCTCCTACAGATTGATCTCATATAGTGTAACAAAATACAGCAACTTTAGCATTAGCTAATCAAGCTAGCAGGAGATAAATGCCACGCCTGGAGTATGGCAAAACTGTGGGCAGAACTAAGAACTTTCAAAGTAATCAATCTGCTTCTAACAATATCTATGGTTCCTCTCAAGATAGATGCAGCATCCTTGGGAGAACTTCTGGAAATCCTTGCAATTCTCTCCCTCCATAAGACAAACAGTAGCAGCCAGGCTTAATTTCAGAATTTTTACTTTTAGAGACCTACCCTTCCGATCCCTTGATGAATCTGAAATGAAGGATTGCCAAGGAGTAGAGTACCAGGGTTTCCCACTTCTCTGTAGCACTGCACTCCATATCCCAGCTGTAAAGTGGCAATCAAAAAAGAGATGCGTGCGGCTCTCTTCATTCCTGCAAAAAACACAAGGAGTGTCCAAGTGCTGCATATAAATCTTCATACGGTCCTTAGTGTTTTGTCTATCCTGGATTGCCAACCACAAGATAAAACTCATTCTAGGTATTGCTTGTCTGTACGAGACTAACCTGTACCAGTGCACCCTTTGATATTTAGGAGCAATACATTTCCAAGGTGATTGTGCATAGTATATACCATTAGCATTAGGCAGCCACTTAACCTGATCAGCTTGGAAGGCAGTGAATCTCTCATCTCCAATAATATGCTTAAACAATGGCCTAGCAAGGCTTCTTAGTTTTAGGATTTTCTTCCAATTCCAAGAAGCAACCTGTGGTGTTTTGAACTCCCAAAAACTTTTCCTTTTAATATATACACTGTTCACACTGAATTAGTCCATATGTTGGAACTATCAGAGAGGAGATACCAGATATATCTAAGCATAAGAGCTTTATTCCAAGAATGCAGCCCCTTAAGTCCCAGGCCACCCACTGCTTTAGTCGTCATGATAGTCGACCAAGCAATTTTACAACCCCTTCCACTGCTATCAACCCAGTGCATAGAAATGACCTTATCAAGTGGCATAGCCAGTAGCTTTGTATGTTGTAAAGGATTGCTTGAATTTTGTTTTGACTGTGTGAATGTTTGAAGTTGTGTTTTGTGATTTTTAATGGATCCAGATACATGAAGAGAGAGAGAGAGAGAGAGAGAGAGAGAGAGAGAATATTGCAGCTTCTTATTGTCTGGAGAAAACAGTAATGGTGAATCAAGATAGGCTAGAGAGATAAGAAAAGAGGGAGATTATAGCGGTAGACTAAATCTCATTTGGAGTGATAGTTTGGTCATTAAAAAAGCCTATTACAATGAAGTTGGATGTAAAGACAGCATTTTTTAAGCAGCTATTTTTAATCATTTAAAAAGGCAGTTTTTTGACCTAAAAACAAAAAAGTGCGAGAGAGTATATTTTTGGACAATTTTTCCTATCCAAATCCAACTTGAGCCAAAGTGTTGTGAATCCATCTTCGAGGAAAAGCATACACCTTCAAGGTCATTCAAGAGTTCCTTCAAAATCTTCAAACAAGTCGTCACATAGAATGGTGCCAGGATACACCAACGCCATAATTAAATTGAAGATAGAGACACATCCCAATCCAGCCATCGTCTTCACCAAATTAAATTAAATAATTGTGCACGTGGAAACATGTCAAAAAGAGTCAACATTACATCTTATAACCACAAGTCAAAGAATCTACGATTATAATTTGACCATTTTTTGTGTAGTTCGACACGCATTTTGCCTTCGAAAAAATATTGTGAAAATAAAATCTTTTGGATAATAAGATAGGTTTTAGATCAATGTTTTTTAATTGATTTTTGGATCAAACAAAATGCAATTCACATATGACCCGTTGGCCCTAAGAAAAATGGTTACTTGTCGGTTAATCTGGTCGTTTAAGGTCTTGAAAAAAACTGCTCAAAGATACCTGAAGTTGGGATGGATGATTAGAAAGGAAACTAGGAAACCTATTAACTACCGTCTTGAATTCCATCACTGCTGTTCACCAAATATACCACACTACCTTTTATTTTTACACAAACTCACAGTATTTAAACTCCGCCCACAGAGCAGAGCTTAGTCTTATTACAAGATATAATAATGCATTGTCAATATGAGTTATTTGAAATAGAACATAAACAAAGAGTATGAAAGGGAGACTTGAGGCTTCAAGCTTCAGACCAATCTCCAGAATGCTGACTCCCACGGACTTGGCTGATAGCAACAAAGAGATTTGAACAAATTACTGCGGTAGTTGTAAAAAAGAAACACAGACATAGTGGAAGCAACTATCTTTGGCTTCATCGAATCTAGATGCTCTCTATTATTTTTTTTCACATAATTTCATTCAACGGTAGATCATCCGCCATGTATTCATGTCGGACCTATTATTTATATGTGGACCTATTTTTTATAAGGGTGAAGAGTCTAAATATAAATAATAGGTCTCGCGTGAATACATAATGAGTGATTTACCATTGAGTTAAATTGTGCAAAAAAGTAAAAGAGAAGATCTCAATCCGCCCTGCATCATAGATACCACTCATATAAGTACGTCATGGATTGATTATCAAAAAGCACGCACTAGGAATTCTATCAACATGGCATCAACTCTATCACTGCTTCACAAAATATACTCACTGCAGCACCTTTGGATTTGATACAAACTCAGGGCATTTATACTCCGCCCCTAAAGCAGAGCTAAATGTGATCGGTAGCTTCAGCCTCCTTACTTGTGCTCTCCAATTGTGCTCTCCACCTCGGCCCCTAAAGCAGAGCTTAATGTCAATCGGTAGCACAAGACTATTGAATGATACATGACTAATGGACAATAAGATAGATTTACAGATGGGGAAAGGAATCTTCACACCTAGAATTAACCTTATAATTGAAAATCACAGTACAAAACAAGATTGGGTAGCTGTCTGCACTGCATTGAGCCTAGTTTGTAGATTTGCACACATTATTAGAAATTTTTTCAGAAAAAGAAAAAAAAAAATTTAAGTGTTTTTCACATCAACGAGAAAGGTGTGTTTCGATAATGATTTAATTCGAAATTCTTAACTTAGTAGGTATTAAAATTACTTTGCAGTGAAAAGCAAATATAAGAATTTTAACTTCTGATGAGGATTTTAACTTCAAGTAGGTACATCCTACTTGCCTATCCGAGCATCAACGTGACGATGTAAATTTGAAGAAATAATGGCCAAATTCAAGGATATACCAAAAAATAACAATTATTTGTCAAATACATTTGCTTACATATATCATCAATTCAACTTAGTTGGGCATTTTTACTTCGTCATGCTTCCTTTACTAAACATTTTCTAAAGGCCCACTGCTAAGTGCAAAATCTAAACAATAATACCACTGACAAAATTTATCGATTCAGTTCACTGCTATTGTTAATCCAAGTAGCATTACGAAACCAAAATCTGCAATAATTTGAAGCTATAGAATTTCATTACCACTCTATTATTCTGTCAAGTTATGGAAGAGCATGTGATACATTCAGCGGGGGAGGATTAAAATTGCATAGATTCCACTAACTAGAATGTCCAAGATAATTAGTTGCTAGTGTAGAAAATAGAAAATACAAAGGAATTAAGAAGCAGATGTCATCATGTGTCAGGAGTATTTTTGGAAAGATTAACAAGATATAGTGGCATACCTCTGTTTCGTGTAGGTGCCTTATTGTGTTATTAAGGTCGTCCTTGCACACAGCTGGATTGTCTAGTGGATATACATTCTCCAGCTTCGGCGTGCTTAGGGGTCCTAGAGAGAAGTTCTTCATTTCAGGGCAAATATACAGTGTGACTTCATGCAATGATGGCAATTCCAAAGCATGTTTCACAGGAAAAAAACTTCTTAGTTTGAGTAGTGCGCCAAGTATCAAAGTTTTCAATTGAGGGAACATAATTTCATTCATCCTGCTCCCTCCTTCTGCTTCTTCTTCCTTCACAACAACTTCTTCCAACATTGGGCAGTCTGCTATTATCAATTTTCGGAGGTGCACCAGACCCCTAGCCATGGACGGAGAGAATAAGTTTCTCAATTTGCCGCAATTATTAATTATCAATTCTTCCAATTGAGGGAACATAATTTCATTCATCCTGCTCCCTTCTTCTGCTTCTTCTTCCTTTACAACAACTTCTTCCAACATTGGGCATTTTGATATTCTCAATTTTCGGAGGTGCACCAGACCCCTAGCCATGGACGGAGAGAATAAGTTTCTCAATTTGCCGCAATTATCAATTATCAATTCTTCCAATTGAGGGAACATAATTTCATTCATCCTGCTCCCTTCTTCTGCTTCTTCTTCCTTTACAACAACTTCTTCCAACATTGGGCATTTTGATATTCTCAATTTTCGGAGGTGCACCAGACCCCTAGCCATGGACGGAGAGAATAAGTTTCTCAATTTGCCGCAATTATCAATTATCAATTCTTCCAATTGAGGGAACATAATTTCATTCATCCTGCTCCCTTCTTCTGCTTCTTCTTCCTTTACAACAACTTCTTCCAACATTGGGCATTTTGATATTCTCAATTTTCGGAGGTGCACCAGACCCCTAGCCATGGACGGAGAGAATAAGTTTCTCAATTTGCCGCAATTATCAATTATCAATTCTTCCAATTGAGGGAACATAATTTCATTCATCCTGCTCCCTTCTTCTGCTTCTTCTTCCTTTACAACAACTTCTTCCAACATTGGGCATGATCTTATTGTCAATTTTCGGAGGTGCACCAGACGCCTAGCCATGGACGGAGAGAATAATTTTCTCAATTTGCCGCAATGTGCAATTATCAATTCTTCAAGTTTACTGAATGAACCAGTGGGGACTTGGCTACACCATATCTCACTCACATTACTCATTCCACTGATTTCCAATTTCTTTAAGCTAGCAGACACAAACTGGAAAATTCGTAATATCACGTTAACGTCGGGCCCACATCAAAAATAGAAGAAATAAGAGTAAATGATATAAATGTCTCTTAAATTATGACTCTTATGTCAATTAAGTCATTAAACTAATTTAAATGTCAATTGAATCCCTAAACTCTAAAATTTTAGCAGCCCTTATGTGAATAGCCGTTAGGTTTTTGGACGGAATGTCTCATGTGCCCACCATATAGATAAAAATTAAGGATATTTTAGACTATTCGTTTGAAATCTATTAGACAAAGAACCTCATTCTTTATACTCATCAATTGAAACCATAAACCTAAACCTCTTTCATACCCATCAAAAGAAGTTAGATCAGCAAAATTATATTTTGTCCATAATTAAACATTAGCGAAATTGGAGAGTTTATGCAATGGACTTAAATGTATGATCAGTGCCTAGTAAGTAAAATTAGGAAGTCAGGTCCAGATTAAGACTCTGTCTCTCCCTTTGTCAAATGGGAGTTCTCTGGTTGTTTTACGTTAGAATCAATACAGACCCACCACCCCATAACCAAAAAAAGAAGAAGACAAAAAAAGAAAGAAACAAAATGACTGATATGTTGAGAGTATATAAGCATGTATGCACCTTTTGGTGGAAAAAAGGTTGCAACCTTGTAGCAACGTGGTTGCTTTTGGGGCAGAATTCCTTGATCATTGGCAGATTCAAAAGTCCTAGTTCAGTCAGAAGAGGGAACTCAATGCCATCAATGTTTTCACAGAAACAAATGAGGCTTGGTAGATCTTCTAGATCTAAACTCTCTAGTTTGGGAAATATGATCTTATCAGTTACATTTTCATCTCGTCTTTTATTTGAAAAAAATTCTTGAATATGTATACAAAACTACATGGGAATAACGAAACCGCATCAGAATTCTAATATTGTTCTAATCCCTTTATCATTTTTTATAAATTCAGATAAAGAAAAAAAAAATATAACTATTTTGACATGGGCCTGGTCTGAAGAACACAAAAACATACATTTTTAACAAAAATGGAAGATTGAAGAAATAAAATGACTAATTTTCTAAATTTGTGGGTATTGAAGGCTTAAAATTCAAGAAGAATCAGTGACATGAAATTGTAGTACCGATAGTGTTTAACTTGAAAAAATAAAAAAAAAATTTGTTGTGTAAGCTTCGGGTTTATATAGGACAAAAGATGGGTGAAATTAAGGTTTTGAAAAATACAAAAAATTAAGAAGATGGAAGATGAAAAGGAAAAAAATTTACCCATAGGCATTTAAATAATTTGTGAAAGTTTATGTAGTGGTCAGTGATGGAAGTAACGTAGTTTAGAGAGGCAAAGAACAAATCATGGAAGATATCTTTTAGCTTTGGATATATTAAAAGGTTAAAATTAGAAATTTGGAATAGAATTTGAGTCTGCTTCAATTTGAGCCCATAATAAGTTTTGTCTTGATTTGATATAAGTTTGAGTCCAAGGTGGGAGAAGTTTTTTGTATTATTTTGACTCAAATTTAAATTTAAGTCTATATTTGAGTCAATGTTGGAGATGCTCTAACTAGAATGTCCAAGATAATTAGTTGCTAGTGTAGAAAATAGAAAATACAAAGGAATTAAGAAGCAGATGTCATCATGTGTCAGGAGTATTTTTGGAAAGATTAACAAGATATAGTGGCATACCTCTGTTTCGCATATGTGCTTTATTGTGGTATTAAGGTCGTCCTTCCACACACCTGGAATGAATCGTATAGATACATTCTCCAGCTTTGGCGTGCTTAGGGGTCCCAGAGAGAAGGTCTTCATTTCAGGGCAATCATAGAGTTTGACTTCATGCAATGATGGCAATTCCAAAGCATGTTTCACTGGGAAAAAACTTCTTAGTTTGAGTAGTTCGCTAAGTTCCAAAGTTTCCAATTGAGGGAACATAATTTCATTCATCCTGCTCCCTTCTTCTGNTAATACCCTAATACACCAAAATATAACACAATATGATATCTTTGGTATCGTACTAAATGTAAATACAAAATAAAGATGAGTTTGCGATTCAAACTAGTGAGATTATAAGAAAATGAGATAGGTTTGTCATAGATCGTGGCATAATAAGATCGATTCTAACTTTCTTAAATCACAACTCACTTTTTTTTTCATTTTTAAGTTGATCCTAATTAGGTTATACTTAATTTTATTTACTTATAAATTTTGATACGATATCAAAATGGTTGGAATGAGACTAAAAAAAATTCAAACACCCACATTATAAATGGGGCCAGGTCATAAGCCCTGCTTGAGATGACGCCTTATCCTTGGGTCATGATCTTTCTGATGCTTGNTGCAATTTCTTTAAGCTAGCAGACACAAACTGGAAAATTCATAATATCACTTGGGCCCACATCAAAAATAGAAGAGATAAGAGTAAATGATATAAATGTCCCTTAAATTATGATTCTTATGTCAATTAAGTCATTAAACTAATTTAAATGTCAATTGAATCCCTAAACTCTAAAATTTTAGCTGCCCTTATGTGAGTAGCCGTTAGGTTTTTGGACGGAATGTCTCATGTGCCCACCATATAGATAAAGATTAAGGATATTTTAGACTATTTGTTCGAAATCTATTAGACAAAGAACCTCATTCCTTATACTCATCAATTGAAACCATAAACCTAAACCTCTTTCATACCCATCAAAAGAAGTTAGATCAGCAAACTTTTCGAAGAGTCTACATTTGTAATTTATTTTTTACACCAGATCAAAGAGTTTGTTAATTTGCTTCATTTGGTGGGAATGAATGAGGTTTAGATTGGTTGGTCTAAGGAATGAGATTTTTCATCTACTGGACCAAAGTGATGCAAATTAAATACTTGAAGGAATAAATTAGCAAAATTGAAAGATTGAGGACCAAAATTGACATCAAGTGCATAATTTGGGGATTAAAAATATATTTTGTCCATAATTAAACATTAGCGAAATTAGAGTTGATGCAATGGCCTTAAATGTATGATAAGTGCCTAGTAAGTAAATTAGGAAGTCAGGTTCAGATTAAGACTCTGTATCTCCCTTTATCAAATGGGAGTTCTCTGGTTGTTTTACGTTAGAATCAATACAGACCCACCACCCCATAACCAAAAAAATAAGAAGACAAAAAAGGAAAGAAACAAAATGACTGATATGTTGAGAGTATATAAGCATGTATGTACCTTTTGGTGGAAAAAAGGTTGCAAACTTGTAGCAACGTGGTTGCTTTTGGGGCAGAATTCCTTGATCATTGGCAAATTCGAAAGTCCTAGTTCAGTCAGAAGAGGGAACTCAATGCCATCAATGTTTTCATAGAAACAAATGAGGCTTCGTAGATCTTCTAGACCTAAACTCTCTAGTTTGGGAAATATGACCTTATTAGGTTCATTTTCATCTCGTCTTTTATTTGAAAAGACTTCTTGAATCTTCTCACAAGAAGCTATCTGAAGCGTTTGGAGTTGCATCAAACTTTTAGCTGCTGATCGCGAAAAAAGATTTCCCAAATTTGCACAGTACTCTACGGAAACAAGTTTGAGATTGCTAAGGAAAACATTTTGACTGGGACCCTTCCATAAATGTATCAGTGAAGGTAACGCATACAGCTCTACCTCGTCTAGTTCCTTGAAGGACCCCGCAGGAAGTTGGCCGTGACAAACCTCTGTTAAATTATCCATAAATGTAAGACGAAGTGAATTCAAGATTGGAAAAATACCAATGCCAGGTGAGCGCCCATCCGTTGTATTCGCAAGATACTCCAGCGTACCACAAGCTGTAATTTTAAGTTCCTTCAAGTGTCGAAAACCCTCCCGATCCAACTCATTCACTACACTCTTTGAACCATCCGAATCCAAGTGTAGACATTCAGAATTCTTTATTAGTAGAATAGTCCAGTCTGGTAAAGGAGTGATTGTTGGGAGGCTGACCTCCATAACTTTCTGGTAATCATTTCTTCGAACAACTGAATTAGGATGACCAATACATATAGTGTATGTTGTCAGCCTTGACCAAAAGCCTAGGTTTGTTGGCACAAGCTCCAGTTCCGGTAAGATAATTTCCAAATTAGTGAAATTGGACAAGGACTCCAGCTCTTTGAGAATCGCTTTACTGCTTTCTTTGCCTTCTTCTTCAGCCTCCCATCTAAATTTTTCCAAGTTTCCCATGTATAATTCTTCCAATTCGACTAACCCTGAGATGACACCTGGTACAATTGTTGAGAGATAGAGACAGTCCCTCAGCTCTAGCAACCTCAGATTAAGCAATCTTCCTATTTCCTTTGGTAACACATCAATAGAGGAACGAACAATGCTGAGGATTTCTAGATTCACAATCCCTCCAATTAAAGTTATATCTTTAAGTGACTCACAATTTTTTAGATGCAATGTCCGAAGGTTTTTCAGGAGTCCAAGTGATGATGGCATTGATAGTATCTCATTATGCTGCATATCAATATCTAAAACTTTGAGGTTGCTCAGTTCCGCTAGAAAACTGTCTAGTACCTTCAATGGACATTTGTTACATACCAACCGCAACAACTCAAGTCTTGGACACTTACCAGGAAGCTCGGTAATCTCATTTGTTATTATTGAAATTGCAGTGTAATCTTCAAATGCCTCTCTGCTTGGCCACTTCTTCAGGTTGACATCATGGCTTATCATAAAAACATGTTTACCCTCCGATGCAATTGATATGGCCACATCACGAATAACATCATGCATTTTGACATGCATTGGAAAGTCACTATCTAGCAATAGGAAACGATCTTTAAGTCTCTCAATCAATGTGCAAACCCTGTTTCTTGCTTGTTTGACCACTTGGATGCCTCCAAATATATTGAGACCCATTCCATACCTAACCAGATCTTCTAAAGGGATATCAAAATCTTCAAGAAATAAACAACAATGCAAAAAGAGAGACTTGCCTTCTGGGGATTGTAAATGATTGTAACTCAGCTCTAGTGGTCGGTACACATCTCTTTGCACTTCTGTGATAGCTCTGGGAATAGATCTTCTCAATTGTTCGAGAGCATCATCCCACACAGGCTTGCTTTTATTTTTCAATGCTCTACCAACAGTAACAAGAGCAAGTGGCAAACATTTGCATTCATTTGCAACTAATTTTGCCACTGGACACAAGTCAGGAGTTTCAACAGAATGACCTGCCATCTCTTTGAAAAGACTCCATGCTTCGTTTTCAGATAAGGTATCAATTGCGATAACCTCAGCTTCCATCGCAGTGCAAATGTCTCGATTCCTTGAAGTCAATATAACTTTTGACCCATCATGATCTCTTCCACAAGGGATTCCTAATTCCTCCGGATTGAGCCATTCCCAAAGGTCATCTAAAATTATAAGGAATTTCTTTAGTTTCTTTAGTCTTTCACGTAGCCGATCTGCTCTAACGGACAAAGTCTCTTCTTTGAGTTCCAGACCTATTGATTCTGCAATTGCACGTTGTATCTTTTTTAACTCTGGTGATTGAGAGACAACTACCATGACGACCTTATCAAAGAGTTTCTCTGTTTTTGCCCATTGCAGAATTTCTTTCGCCATTGTTGTCTTGCCCACCCCTCCCATTCCACATATCCCTACCACATTGACGTTGCTATTCTTCACAGCTGCCATTATTCTTTGCTTAATTGATTTTCGGGATTCGAATTCTCGGGATTTGAATTCTGTCCCCACTGGAGGTTCACGGACTGACACCGTACTGAAGTTTCCATTTCCTGTGAGCGTAGTAAGAACACGGATCTTCTCCTTCGCAGTACGGCTCCGCCAGTAACGAGGCACCAGACAAAATGGAGACAAACACAGTTTGCTTTCTCTATCTTCATCTTCTAGAAATGTTTTTGCCTCTTGCAGGGATGTATCTGCAGTTGAACGCCAGTGTGTAACATCAGCTAAGATAGTTTCTCCATTCCGTTCAGCGTCATCAATCTTTTGTTGCACAGCATGTCTCCTAGCTTCTAGATTCCCAACTTCCTTTCCAAAGTCCTGGATGTTGTTGTCATAGCTCTTCAGGTAAGAAAAGACCTCCCCGATTGGAATAATCCCAAGGACTGATACTATTAGTTTAGCTACGTCCATTATGATTACTCTTTTTTGTTTTTTTTCCTTTTTCTTCCCTTTTCCTCTAGAGCAGCGATATTGAGTAGTCAACAACTTGATCAGCAACACCAATATCCCTTGGACCTTTTCAATATAAAAAAAGGAGAATGTCAATTGCATCAATTAACGACAGTGCATTTTTCATCAAAAGAGGAATAAATCAAATGCCAACAAGCCTTAATCACCCCCGAATCCCCTTTGTTCTGCTGTTCAAATTAAAATTTAGTGACTAGATGTAGGAGAGTGGCCCCCACACTGATATTTTTAGTAAAGTATCATGTCAAATTCTTCGTTCTGTAGAGTCTATTCAATCACTTTACACATGATATGTTGTATAGTCTAATAAGTTCTCAATAAAATAGACAACATTAATTCTAACTTGTGGATATTAATAATATTTCTTTCAATAGAAATAAATCAAATACATGTTCTTTTGCAACTTTCTACCAAAAAAAAAATTTTTGTAACCATGCCATCTTTCGCCGGTTACTACTTATGTGGGAAAAAAAATCAACTATACCATTGAGAAAGATATGATTAAAGCAACTTATTTAAAAAGTTACTTTTGGGAAGCTTAAATGCTAATCCTAGTAATTAGCCCCACCCAATTTACTCTTGTATAAAGACAAAAGGATAAACTTATCCACCATTCAAAAATCAAAAGATTTTCCAGTCGAATCACCAATCTCCATTTAAAAGGAAAGAGGTTAGGACACCTCACCGTAGAGGAGTTTCAACCTCCTAAACAACTAGGGATGGAGTATTTCCCGCCTCATAGGATGAGCAGGAAGATCAGACTCCTCAAATAGAGGGAGTTTGACTTCTCAAATAGCAAATAGAGTCCACTCTCCTAAGGAACGAATTCCCAAACTATAAAATGGAGCTCGGGGGAATCATCAAAGGTACACAACTCCACTCCTAAATATCCATCTCCAACTTTGATTAGATTTCTAACTTAAGCATCGGAGGTCAACCCCTAGAGCCCCCCCTCCAATCTTCGACTTTTTTTTATGGGTTACCAGCCATTCGAAAAGGCTAACTTGGATCATCAGAGAGTTGGGATGGACCTTCAGAAAGATGACTAGGAGGCCAATAGAGTTTAAGCTAACTTATGTGGAGGTTGGGGAAGATTTTGTACCAACAATTTGACTCTCATAACCTTGAATGGTGACTACCAGATTGATGGATGTGACCAGAAATAATCTTCCCATGGAACAAGAGTTCCAGGAGTTGCTCAAAGGATATAATCATGACCAAGGGCCCCTCAAACCAACAAGAGACAAGGAACTTTGAGAATGCTCAATCTGGAGAGGATTATAATAGAAAGAATAAGACAAAGGAAGGTTTGACCCAATAAAATCAGTAAATATTACAGATGCTCATTGGCCAGCCTGCTTAATAGGTCTCTCATTTAGGAGAAACTTAGTGTGATCAAGCAAATAGATGACCACAACCACAATGATACCTCTCGCCAACAAGAGGAAAATAGTACCCTAGACCGGAAATTGAGGGACGTTAATGATCGCATCAGAGATGTGCTTAACATAGTTAAAACCAGTGCTCTAGAGACTATGGAGACCTTGGTTCAACCTTAGNAGTTACTTTTGGGAAGCTTAAATGCTAATCCTAGTAATTAGCCCCACCCAATTTACTCTTGTATAAAGACAAAAGGATAAACTTATCCACCATTCAAAAATCAAAAGATTTTCCAGTCGAATCACCAATCTCCATTTAAAAGGAAAGAGGTTAGGACACCTCACCGTAGAGGAGTTTCAACCTCCTAAACAACTAGGGATGGAGTATTTCCCTCCTCATAGGATGAGCAGGAAGATCAGACTCCTCAAATAGAGGGAGTTTGACTTCTCAAATAGCAAATAGAGTCCACTCTCCTAAGGAACGAATTCCCAAACTATAAAATGGAGCTCGGGGGAATCATCAAAGGTACACAACTCCACTCCTAAATATCCATCTCCAACTTTGATTAGATTTCTAACTTAAGCATCGGAGGTCAACCCCTAGAGCCCCCCCTCCAATCTTCGACTTTTTTTTATGGGTTACCAGCCATTCGAAAAGGCTAACTTGGATCATCAGAGAGTTGGGATGGACCTTCAGAAAGATGACTAGGAGGCCAATAGAGTTTAAGCTAACTTATGTGGAGGTTGGGGAAGATTTTGTACCAACAATTTGACTCTCATAACCTTGAATGGTGACTACCAGATTGATGGATGTGACCAGAAATAATCTTCCCATGGAACAAGAGTTCCAGGAGTTGCTCAAAGGATATAATCATGACCAAGGGCCCCTCAAACCAACAAGAGACAAGGAACTTTGAGAATGCTCAATCTGGAGAGGATTATAATAGAAAGAATAAGACAAAGGAAGGTTTGACCCAATAAAATCAGTAAATATTACAGATGCTCATTGGCCAGCCTGCTTAATAGGTCTCTCATTTAGGAGAAACTTAGTGTGATCAAGCAAATAGATGACCACAACCACAATGATACCTCTCGCCAACAAGAGGAAAATAGTACCCTAGACCGGAAATTGAGGGACGTTAATGATCGCATCAGAGATGTGCTTAACATAGTTAAAACCAGTGCTCTAGAGACTATGGAGACCTTGGTTCAACCTTAGAATATCCATTCTAATATGATGTTACACATTATCCGTTGCCTCCTAAATTTAAATTGTTTATAACAGATAGCTTTGATGGGCAAAAAGATACTTTGAACAATCTAAAGACTTATAAGATTCTCATATTGCTTCAAAACTGATGATACCTAAAATAAATTTCAAGTGCTAAGCTTAGGAGGTTAGCTCAGACCAGGAGGTCAGACACATTAGCAGAGGTCAAAGGGTAAGGGCCAAGTGTCTCTTAAGGCAAGATAACAGCTGAATAACCACGAGAGGATCTTAAAGCGTTAGGAAGCTGTAATCAAGGCACCCAATCTCAACCAACCAAGATCTTCTCCTAGAATTAAGGAGAAACCCACCAAATAAGGGCAATAATCTCGGCTAAGATCCTTCTTTGCAGGGAAGGGCCTTATAAATGCAAGGGAACACCCCCTAACGGAGGGNCCAAATAAGGGCAAGAATCTCGGCTAAGATCCTTCTTTGCAGGGAAGGGCCTTATAAATGCAAGGGAACACCCCCTAACGGAGGGGGGAACCCTAGTGGCAAAAAGAAGCCATAGCAACCTTGTAATCACCGTGAATAAAACAAAAGGAGCAAGAGCCTCTCTTCTAGAGTGGACTAGCCGAGCTCCCAAGCTGGTGAACCACTATAATTCTGTTGTCTTAACTTCCAAAGCCCTGGATATTATTGCATCATCTTAGCAACCTAACGTAATCCCAGCTCATCTTTGGCAAAAGTGCATTAACACCATCAGTTTGGCGCCGTCTGTGGGAAACGACTGTTTCTGTTACAAATAAAGCTAATTTCTCAGTGACTGATGGTATCAACGCGAAACATGAGCCGAAGTCAGACCAATCCTCTACGGATGCAAGATCAACAGGAAGCCACAAATAGCAGACAACCCAAAAACGCGCAAGAAGTTGATCCCTCCATGGGGGGCCTTCCCATGAATAATGAGATGGAAGCCCTTCGTCTTGTCAATGAACATCTGATAAGACAGAACAAAGAGCTCTTAAAGCTCCTACAACACCCGCAGGAGGCTCGACCGGTCCAATGAGGCCAGAATAATCCACCACCAAGGGAGCAACCGTATCTCGACCCCCTCAGAGAAGTTAATGAGGTGGGAGAGAATAGCCAGACCTTGGGGCAAGAACCTCGCCTACCCCTAGGAATAGTCACAACGAGGAAGTGCAAAGTCGGTATGAGGAAGAGGAGAGGTGCGACTTCTTCCCTTATCAACAGGAGAGAAGAGAACACTACTGGGAGCAATGTTTCAAAGACATCCAGCAAGCGCTCAGCCAGATGAAAGTGAAGAGCAAAGCCCCAATCACTATGGATGCCTTGGTGTAGCAAACCGAATCCCCATTCACTGCTGGGGTGCTGCACTTCCGTCTCCCACCTAAATTCAGAATGCAGTAGGTGGATGCTTTCGATGGGACAAAAGATCCCGTGGACCACCTCAACACCTTACAAAAATCAAATGGAGTTGCATGGATATCAAGATCCAGTGAGATGTAGGGCCTTTGCTATCACCCTGAAAGGCTCAGCCTTAGCATGGTTCAACAGACTCCCCCCAGCCTTGATTTCGTCTTTTAAAGAGCTGTCATTCTCGTTTGTATCCCATTTCATCGGAGCTCGGACCTATGGGAAACCGAGCTACCATTTTTTAAATGTGAAATAGGGACATGATGAGAACCTATGGTCTTATGTCCAATGGTTCAACTCAGAATCCTTGAAGGTGGATGTCCCAGACGAAAAATTTGCTATTACAGCCNCGTCTTTTAAAGAGCTGTCATTCTCGTTTGTGTCCCATTTCATCGGAGCTCGGACCTATGGGAAACCGAGCTACCATTTTTTAAATGTGAAATAGGGACATGATGAGAACCTACGGTCTTATGTCCAATGGTTCAACTCAGAATCCTTGAAGGTGGATGTCCCAGACGAAAAATTTGCTATTACAGCCTTCATAGCAAGTCTGGGAGTTACAGTCAAAAGATCAAATGTTTTCCATCTTAAAGAACCCCCAAGCTAATATGACGGAGGTGTTTGCCAAAGTAGAAAAGTACATAAATGGTGTGGAAGCGCTCCTCTCCAAGGTTGGGAGCTCTTCGTCCAGAAAGGAGAAAGGGAAGGAATAAAAGAAGACAGAACGAAGTCCTAGAAAGGAAAGAGAACGAGGCAGGTCTCCAAGAAGAGGCAGAGAGCGTTCCTCGAAGAGAAGAGAAAATGTCAGGGATCACTTTGGCCCTCCACAACTAGAGCTACAACCAAGGCATGCACCCCGACAGCTCACCCCTCTAACTGTTACGGTGTCTCAGATACTGTATGAGGTGCAAAATGAGAAGTTCTTAAGGTGGGCACCCCGGATGAAAGCAGACTCGACAAAAAGGGATCCTACGAAGTATTGTGACTTCCACAGAGACCATGGTCATCACACCGATGACTGTATCC